TTACATGACTAAGAATTTATGCATTTCTTCTAGGTTCTCTAGCTTAACAACATAAAATTGTTGATAGTAACCTCTATAATGTTTTAAATTTCTGAAAGATTCATTGTAATTTCTCCCCTTTCATATATGATCCAATTTATTTGAACACTGTCTCTTTTCCTTTGTGAATCTAGCTAAAGTTTTATCTATCTTGTTTATTTTTTCCAAGAACAAACTCCTGGTTTCATTGATTCTTTGAATTGCTTTCCTGGTTTCTGTTTTGTTGATTTCTGCTCTAGTTTTTATTATTTTTCCCTCCTTCTACTACTTTTTGGATTTGTTTATTGTTCCTTGTTTAGATTTTTTATGTGTGTTTAGGTTGTTGATTTGGCCTTTATTCAAATTTTTTCTTATTGTAGTCCTGCATTTCTATTAATTTCCCCCTTACTGCAGCTTTTGCTGTATCCCATACAGAATGATGGTTTGTGTCTTCATTCTCGTTAGTTTAAAGGAATCTTTTTTATTTCTTATCTGATTTTCTCTTTGATCCAGTTGTTGTTTAGCGGTGTTTTGTTCAGCTTTCATGTGTCGGAAGTTTTCCACATCTTCTTTCTGTGGTTAATTTCTACTTGCATGGCATTGGGGCCTGAGAAAGTAGTTTGTGTTATATCTAAATTTGTAAATTTAGGTGTGTTTGAGTCATACCCTAATATGTTATGTATCTTGGAGAATATTCTGTACATTAGGGAAGAATGTATATTCTTGTTTTGGGGGATGCAGTTCTTTCAGCTCCTCATTTAGGGCTCTTGTCTTTTTACTGATATTCTGTCTAGTTTATCTGTCTACTGGGGAAAGTGGTGTGTTAAAATCTCCCATTACTATTGTGTTTTGTCAATGTGTTTCTTTAGATTTGTGAGCAGTTTTATGAACTTTGCTGAGCCTTCATTTGGTGCATAAATGTTGAGAAAAGTATTTTTTGATCTATTGTTCCCTTTACCAATTAGTACTGTTAATCATTGTCTCTAATTAATTTGTATATATTAAATTGAATTTGGTCTGATGTAAGTGTGTCTAAGTTTTTTTTTGTCTTTCATTGGCTTGTATGATTGTTTTACATCCTTTGATTCTTAAGTCTTTATTTATCCTGAGTTTAGGTTGTGCTTCCTGTAGGCAACAAATGGACAGATTTTCTATTTTTTTAATGGAATCACCGTGAGATACAGTTACAAGACTTTCATGTTTGCGTTTCAGTCATACAGTGATCGAACACCCATCCCTCCACCAGTGCACATTCTCCACCACCAATGTCCCCGCAGTATCACCAGCCCCTTTTCCACCCCTCCCCCTGCCTCTTTGGCAGACAATTTCCCCCATACTCTCTTTCTACTATTGGGCATTATGGTTTTCACTATAGATACCAAGAGACTATCACGTTTGTCCTTTACCTACCTTCAGCACAATGTATAGATTTTCTTTCCTAATTCATCCAGCTACTTTTTGCCTTTTTATAGGGGAATTTAGTCCATTGACATTCAGAGAGATTATTGACATAAAGGGTTGTGTTGTGTGTGGTCAGTTTTATTTTCGCAAGAGTCTGGTTTTTTTTAATAATCAGCCTTTCAATAATTGTTGCAGGACTGGTTTAGTTGTCACAAATGCTTCCAGCTTTTGTTTGTCTGAAAAAGTTCTTATTCCTGCCTCAAGTCTAAATGATAGCTTTGCAGGATATTAGACTCTAGGCTAGAAGATTTTTTTCAGTCAGTACTTTGAATATGTCATTACACTCTTTCCTGGCTTGTAAGATGTTGGATGGGAGGTCTGTTGTGATTCTTATGTTGTTTCCCTTATAGTGATTTGAGGGTTTTCTTCTCTCTTCCTGCTTTAAATAATCTTAGTCTTTGGAGTTTACCATTTTGATTGCTATGTGTCTTTTTTTTTTTTGGAGAGTGGGCACACCCAGTGATGTTCAGGGGTTATTCCTGACTCTGCATTCAGGAATCACTCCTGGAAGAGCTCTGGGGACCATATGGAATTTCGGGGATCGAACCCAGATCGGTTGTGTGCAAGGCAAGTGCCCTATCTGCTCTGGGCCCGATTACTATGTGTCTTGGAGTTCTTTTGTTTGAGTCTTTTTTTTTTTTATTACTCTTTGAGCCTCTTGAATTTGTACAAAATCCTGTCTCAAGATTTCAGCAAAGTTCTCAGTTAATATTTCTTTCACCAGCTGTTCTTCCCCTTTATCTTTTTCTTCTCCTGGTATTTCTATGATTTGAAGGTTATTTCTCTTGCTGTTATCTATCACAAATCTTATATTCTGTTCCATTCGTTTACTTTTCTTTTTTTCACTTCATTACTTGTAATGGCAAGTATTTTGTCTTCAGTATCATTGATATGGTCTACACTGTGTTGAATTCTGTTGCTGTGATTTGCTGTTGTACTTTTTAATTCCTTCAATTCCATTTGTATAGATTCTTTGATGCCCTGGTTCAGTTCATCTTTAAGTTAGTTGAATTTTTCTTCCAGTGATTGCTTTAGTTCCGTGCCCATTGTCTGGAGCATTGATTTGAGTTCCTCATCAGTGAGGCTTGGGGGTTTATTTGAGCTCAGTGATTTGTCAGGACTTCCACCCCTTCTAGAGCAGGTGAAATCCTTTGAAATCTTTCCTAAAGATGTGTGAGTGTTATGATTTGAGTTTTGGATTCACAGCTATCTTAAGTCTGACCTAATTTGTTTCTTTACAGCAAGCAGTGCTCTTCATACTATTACTCTATCAGTGTCTGTGTCCTTAGAATGTTACTTCCCTGGTCATGCAGTTCAGTGTCTAATATTTCCATTTCTATAGAAGGGTTAAAATAGACATATTTGAGGAAATATATAAGACAGAAGAACCCTTGGAATTGGTGGGAATGAAAGGGTGGCATTGTCTGTTGATAATAAACAGTAAGGTATGTATTGGTGGTTTGGAGCTCTAGAGGGGTTTGATGGACTCTTCCTCTTCAGTCCAGGGGACCCAAGAGGAGGTCACAGATGGCACAGGAGTCACTGGGCAGCATGGGGGTTGGAGTCCTTGAGGCACCTGGGTGACAGTGACAAAGGAGACCAAACTCAGCTTTCTGGGTCCCTGAGGGCATTCTCTGGGTTCTAGATAGTTTTTCAGAGGGTTTTTTTGATCTGGGGTACCCAGAAAGAAGTCACAGGCTTGAGAGTTATTGTTTAAACTGTGTAGAAACCTCTCCAGTCTTTAAGAAATTTGTTTCCACTTTGATGTTGTTATTTTCTACCTAGAACATTTCCTGTTGATTCCTTTCTAAAATATCCGATCGGTTCTATTTACTGATATACCATTATCATTGTATAAGCTCAGCTTTGTACTAAAATCTTTCGTCATTTTTGTGCTGAAATCTTTGTTTTTGTGCTGTTTCACCACTTTATGATCACTTTAGAAATAATAATAGATATATGACTGACAATGGGCAAAAAGACACCTCTTCGTGGTGTTGCTATTATTATATCAGTCAGATCCTTATTCTAGTCTGCGTACCATCAACTCAGGTATCTTTAACAGTCTATACCATTTTTATGGTCTTTTGTTCATCTTGCCTTGATGCCTGTGTTGGTGACCAGAGCTGTTTCATGGTTGGAGCACATCACTGTGTCACTGTATCACTGTCATCCTGTTGATCATCAAATTACTCAAGCGGGTGCCAGTAACGTCTCTCTTCCTCCCAGCCCTGAGATTTTAGCAGCCTCTTCTTACTCATCTTTTTCCAACAATTGGAAGCTCTTTCAGGGTCAGGGGAATGAGACCTGTTGTCCTTACTGTATTTGGCATATGGAATACGCCACAGGGAGCTTGCCAGGCTCTGCCCGTGCAGGCGGGATACTCTCAGTAGCTTGCCAGGCTCTCCAAGAGGCATGTATTTATATATTTTTCTCTATGGTTTGTTGCCTACTATCTGAACCTCATCAGATATGGTGTAATAATTGTGGAAAATGGGTAGGAAGTATCTTATAATGTGTCCAGAAAGCAGCCTGGAGCATAGTGGTGGTTGGGTAGTGGAGGTCGGCTGCCCGGGCTGGGTCCTTGGGGTGGGGAGGGCTCTTACCAGCCCCACAGCCTGGCACAGGGTCTGGTGGCATGGTTCTGGGAGCCTCATTTTATACTCCCGTCTGGGAGGAGCATCCTGAGTTCTCGCTTGGAGCACATAAATTCCTATAACTGAATTTTATTTTCGTCTTTGATCTTCAAGAAGAAAGGGTCAAACAGGAAGCCTCATGAGTAGATTATGCCATTCATGAGTCTCAACGATAAAATGCTTTAATGTTTTATGACGATAGAACCATTCTGTACTAATTTCTGAGAGTGAACATGCTACCCAGTAGAGATTGTGTGTCAAGAATAACAGTAGAGGCAATGCAATCTGCATAAAACTGGTTGTTATGTCAAACAAATGGGTCATGCTTAGCTTGGGAAAATAATTTTAAAATAGTAATAGATACCTTTTTTGTACAATGCAAGAATTATTATGCCACAATTGTTAGACTTTCTCCACTACCAAATTACTTACCAATAGAACAAGAAAATAATTCTCCCTAGATAGTTATTCTTACCAAGCTTCTTAACACAGAGGTTTGAGTTTTCCAGAATACTAACCAGTTAACCGTGCCTTTAAGGTGTTTGACTCTATAACACTTAATTGGATTTGTTTTACTGACCTTTTAAGAAATGGTAGAGACTCTTAGAGATATCTGAATTGATGGTATACAGACAAAAAATAAGGATATGGTTTTTTATATAAAATTTGTAGATGAAATGAGATACCAGAAAATGTTTGAGGCCTAATCAATGGCTGAATAAATATCAATATTCCTACATAAAAAAGTGTTTGAGAATATTGTTGGCATCACAGTTTATCTTAATAATTGCTGTAATGAACAGTTTTAAATTAAATTGTTAGATAATCTTAAAGGAGGAGAAGCTCAAAGCATGTAAGACTGAAACAAAGATTAATTTTTTTCAGGTGAAGGTTGTAGATGAACAGAGGTATCGAAAAGTGTTTGAAGATATTGTGCGCATTATGGACCGAATGGAAAATGATTTCCTTCCTTCCTTAGAACTCAGCAGGAGAGAGGTGAGCAAAAGTACTGAGTTACCCCATCTACTGCCTACTGTGGTTAACTAAGGGCAAACCATGTTATTACTTAGAGCAGGCAACAAAAAAAAGTGGGTGCAGATCATGTGGACTGAAGTCAAAATGTCACCATTCCTGTCTCATCGCTGCCATTTAATAGATTATGAGACTGTGGGCAAGTTTCTCGCCCTCTCAAAGCACAGTGTTCTCTTCTGACAGAGGGTAGTTGTGATGATTACATGAATTTAATACATGCAATACATGCAACACCTTTGGAACAGTGCCTGGCATGCAGTCAGCTCTCAGATGTTAGCTGCCTTATTTTAATATTTCAAAGATGCTGGTTAATTCATATCTCATGAACCAGAGCTTAGCCATGGACTGAATACCTTGACTCAAAGTTTGGGTTTACCTCTTAGGATCCCAGGAACAGAGTAGACTAGAGAAGTAGCAAGAGCAGCCTAACCTCTCTGCTGATGTGAGTATAATACACGCTAAGCGATAGTAAACAGCTAACTCAATTAGTGAACGTACAGGGCAACTGTGTACCTGGTTAATCATTACCTTATTCATACTCTCTCTGGAATAATCCAACTGACTGACTTCCCCTACTCGTGATGCATGTTTGTGTCTGTCTGTTATTTCCCAGTTTGTGTTTGAGAATGTGAAGTTTCGGGAACTACAGAAGGAGACGTTTCAGATCAGCAACAATGGACAGGTTGCCTGCCATTTTTCTTTCATCCCAAAACTTAATGACTCACAGTACTGCAAGCCATGGCTTCGGGCTGAACCTTTTGAGGGCTACTTGGAGCCAAGTGAGTTTCCCCTGTCCCCTCGTCTGCATGCGATGTGTTGTCTCCTCATGACTCCCATGCCCTCCCTTTTTTAACTTCTTCTTTTCTAACCCCTTGTCTCTTACCATCACTCTCAGATTGGGGATACCTCTGTTGTGGATCCAGTCTCTCCTCCATCACATGCTGATTTTGTTGAGAGGTTCTGTCTAGTGGTCCTCATCCCCTTTTACTTTTCCTCGGGGATTGGGGAGAGTGATGCTCTATTACTATGTGTCATCTCTCACATTTCAGATGAAACAATAGATATTTCCCTTAATGTGCACGTCAGCAAAGATTCTGTGACCATCCTGAACTCAGGAGAAGATAAGATTGAAGATATTCTTGTCCTTCACCTGGACCGAGGCAAGGATTACTTCTTGACGATCAGTGGAAATTACCTCCCCAGTTGTTTCGGCACATCCTTAGAGGCTTTGTGCCGTATGAAAAGACCTATTCGAGAAGTTCCTGTTACCAAACTCATAGACTTGGTAAGAAACATCCTGTGTTGTGAACCTCATTTTAGATAGGATTTTCACAATATTTAATGATGTCCTTATTATGTCTTGTGCTTTCTTTTTTGTTGGAGGACAGAGGGGAACTCTCAACCAGTTAATAAGAATGTCTCACCTTGCATGTAGTGGGGGGTACTTTTTTATTTGTTTGCTTAAAGAAGGTAGATTTCTAGGTGCACTTAGTCTTTCGAAAGGGGGCAGTAGATCAAATAAGTACTACAGAACCTCTGCTGTAGTACTTCTTTGATTAGATCAAGTCTAAAATGAAACAGGAAAGGATTGTCTGTAATTGGTTCTTGGTCAGAATATCATAGATAATAGTGAATTTGCTGAATGCAAGGTTCCCTTCTTAAAGATCCAGTGTCTGTTTGTTATGTTCTTCATGCTTTTAGGTGCCTGTTGTGTAAATCAAAATGTATGTGAGGTTGGATAAATGAGAGGGAGGCCCCTCAATCAAATATGAGAAAACTAAGACAGTGACAGTTACTTGCCCAGAGTTGATTGAGGTAATGACAGATCTGAGTCCAGAATTTCTGACTCCTAGACCAATATTCCTCATTGTCATCATTTCTAATCAGTAGCGAGGACTATAAATGCACCAGGGTGTACCAAAAATACAGGTTACTCTCCCCATTTGGGGCAACAGAGTCAGAATTTCGGACTGTGATGCCTAGAAATCTGCATTTTATCAACATTTCAGTGGTTAAAATATGCAGGAAGATTTGATGGGGGTCACACTGGCAATGCTCAGGGACTACTCTTGCAATGCCTAGGGAACCTCATATATGGTGCTGGACTTCAGACATACTAAGTAGCCCATTGTTTTTTCTCTCCAGCCCTAAAATCTTGGTACATTTTTATGTCATTCATTTAAGAAAGAAAAGTCCACTCTCCATGCCAAGTGGTAATATCAGTGTTCTTATAGGGAAAACATTTCTCATCCTCAGTAACATTAATTTAGTAATAAGTTCATCTTACTAAGAAATTCTCTTCTAAATGGAAGTAGAGGATTTGTGCAGACTTCTTTGGGTGAGAAAAGAATACTCTCAGTCTTTTTACCAGAGAAAATGATGTGACATAACAGCTCTGTATTACCATTACCATAAACTTTGCATGCTGATCCTTTTATCCTGTTTGAGCCACTATTGTGCCATCTACCAAGGACGACTAAACCACTGGGTAGGCTGCTGGCTTGTCTGAGTGAAGTGTTCTGTTGCCATGGAATTGTTTAACTGTGACTTAGATGCCAGATGAAAAACACTTGAGTCCAGGCCTAGCATTCTTTCTTGGAATTAAGCTTGTTTCCCCAGAGCCTTGTGACTGAATGCCTTACCTTTATTTGAGAGGAAGCCATTTTCCTCAGAAATTCCTATTTGAGCGTTCTGTTGTTTTTTTTTTTTTTCGTGACCCTTGATTTTTCCTCTATCATCAGTCTTTCGAATTTAATATTTCACTTTTTAGAATTCAAGTAATGTTACATTCCCCTTCTCCCGGTACCTTTTCTGCCATCCCAAATGCTATCTCTCAGCTTTCTTTCCCCACCTTTTTAAATTTTTAAGTGACAAATTTGCAGAATTGAAAGAACAGTACAATGATCATTCACATGCCATATGCATACACACACACACACACACACACACACCTGTGCGCATGCACACACAAACTTTTTTCTGTTCCATTTGAAATCAAGATCATTGGTCACTTCACCAGTGAATCTTAACCGATATATCTTTAAAGCAACTTCTTTATAACCACAATACCATTGTCGTAGCTAAGAAAATGAACTAATCTATATATCTGGGGTGGGGGGAGGATGGAGGGTTCCTAAGCAGTGCTAAGGAGTTCCAGGGGCCCCACAGTCTATTCTCAGCCAACTGAGCCATCAGTTTAGCACAAAAGTCCAAGAATGTGATATGCTCAGGCCCTGCTATGCTGGAATACCCAGGCCACCCCAGAGGTGGAGGCTTCCAGGGCCACACCTGGCAATGCTTGGAGGAACATATGGTGCCGGGATTGAATCCAGGTCTGGTGCATGCCAGACATCTTCCCTAACACCTGTGCTCACCTCCAGCCCCTAACCAATCTGTCTTCAGATTTTTCCAGTTGTTCCAAGAATTTAATTTATAAACAATTTAAAGAGTCATGATTTACAAAGTTATTGCTAGTTGAATCTTAGGCATACAATATTCCAACATTAACCCCACCAGCAGAGGCAGTTTCCCTCCCAGAGTGCCCAGGGTAGCCGTTTTTGTTTTTTACTTTATTTAGGGCACCATACCAGTAGTGCACAGGAGCTACTCTTATGCATTGTGCTTGGGGATCACACCAGGGTCTCCTGCATGCAAAGCTCGTGCTCAGTCTGTTCAGTTCTCTCTCGGGCTCTAGTAGCCTTTCTCTCTGTGTGTCTCTCTTTTAGTATTTTTAAAAATCAAAATCTACATGGCAATCTAGTGAGGTCTCACAAATCTCTTAGAGACTAGGACAGTTCTCCCAATTTTTTGTGACTTTTTAAGAGTCCAGGGCAATTATCTAGCCCAGGATTCACCATTTTCTAAACTTGTCTGACTGTTTCCTCTTGGTAAAAACTTATCCTGTCATACTCCCTCCTCCCACCTGTTTCCTATAAACTTGAACCTAGCTTTATTTTTGGTCAGTTGGCAGAGGCATATAAAGTCTTACTGTAACTGCCACATTAAAGTGACTGGAAGGAAACTCAATGAGAAAAAAAATTATTTAAAATATCAGGCAGGCAGGGGGAATTGGGAATGTTGCTGATAGGGACAGGTGTTGGAGCATTGTATGACTGAAACCCAATCATGACCAACTTTGTAACTAACTCATGGTGGTTTAATTTTTTAAAATAAAGGGGCTGGAGCGATAGCACAGCAAGTAGGGCGTTTGCCTTGCATGTGGCCAACCCGCAATCTATTCCCAGCATCCTATACGGTCCCCCGAGCACTGCCAGGAGTAATTCCTGAGTAAAGAGCCAGGAGTAACCCCTGTGCATCGCTGGCTGTGACCCAAAAAGCAAAAAGTAAAATAAAATAAAATTTTAAACAGTAACAACAAAGTCTCCAGTGGAGACGTTACTGGGCCCGCTCGAGCAAATCGATGATCAATGGGAGGGCCTTTACCTTTACCTTTTAAATAATGAACTTATTATCAGTAGGACAAAAAAATAAAGTAAAATATTAGGTAATCCAACTATATTCAACTGTGACTAGGAAATAACTAGAATCTAATGGTGTTAATGGCTTTGCAGAAAGCTCTTTTCCTTCCTTTTGTGCACAAATAGTTCATGGTTTAAAAAATAGATCCCTGATAACATTTTATCATAGTTATTCATAAAATTCCTAAGTTTTGGGAAGATAATACGTGCATCTCTAAAAGTTTTGTTTTGTAGGATTTAGAATTCAGATTCTTTTCATACTTTATTGTAAAATCAGTATCATTCAATACCTTTGTCTCATTGATAAGAAATTTATCCATACTAGTATAGGGCAGATTTTCAGTACCCCATTTGTTTCTTGTTTTGTTTTGGCTTTTCGTATTTGAACCACATCTGGAAGTTCTCAGGGCTTACTCCTGTATATGGGCTCAGGTGGCACTCCTAGAGATTCCCAGGAGACTTTATGCAGTGCAGGAAATCAAACCAGGATCGGCTGTATACAAGGCAAGCAGCTTACCTGCTATCTCTCTGGCCCTTATCAAGTACCCCATTTGTAATTTTTTCCCTTTTTATTTTGTTCTTGTTTTTTTGTTTTTTGGCTATCCCCAGTTGTGCTCAGGGCTTACTCCTAGGTCTGTGCTTGGGGATCACTTCATGTGATGTGCAGAGGACCATATTTGGTAGCAGGAATTGAAATAGCATGGACTTCATGCAAATAAAGTACTTTAACCCCTGTATTATCTCTCCAGCTCCTTTTGTCTGGTTGGGTTTTGTGGTCTAAGTCTGCAGTGCTCAAGGCTTACTCCTGGCTCTGTGTTCAGTACTTACTCCTGGCAGGGTTCAGGGGACTGTACAGTGCTTTTTCTCTCGCCCCCGTCTGGCCCTCTTTGACTTTAGATTTCTGTAATTCTTTCTTAAGTTTTTTGGTTCAAGACCAATAATGATGTTTCAAACCTATGAAACAATGCTACGAATAATGGTACCTACCTGTTGGCCTCTTTACAATGCTATGAATAATGGTACCTGTTGTACTCTGACATTTCAGTGAATCCAGAAGTAAGTTTAGTGCCTGTGTTGATGCTTCATGTACTGTTTCAGAGAGATACTTTCTTGTGTCACACCTTCCCACCAAATGTGGAATGAAGTTGTTGATATGAGTCCTTCTCATCTCTCTGCTCTTTACAATGTCAGTGACTTTGCCTTCCTAGAACAGTTGGGATTAACACAAGTGGCAAGCCAAGGAGAATCTATAATTACCTTTGTTTTTTCAAAACTAATAATTTTTGCTTATTAAATAGCTGACAGTCAGTATTTATTCATTATACATTAAATACAAAGTTTTATAGAGTTTATGTAAGTTACTGTCATTTCATTAATGTAGGTTAATTTACTATAGTGGTGATGAAAGTTTATTTGTATGTACATTGTACCCAAATTCTAAATCAAGGTTAATAGGGAGTTTGACTAGAGATGATCTAAACATTTACCACCTTTACTAGATAATGTCCAATGCGTTTGATAGGTCAATATTTTAGAAAGCCTTTAGAATGGGAGGTAGAGATCTTATAATTTGTAGTAGCAATAGCATCCTTTCCTGTGCTATTCACTCAAGTCCTGAATATGCTATAAAAGCTTATTGATTGCTCAGCTTATCTCTGTGAAAATCAATCTCACAATCAGCCTGTTTTGGCTTCAATGAATATTTGATGCAGTCAACATTAACATGACCAGAAATAAGTTAGCAGAAAAGAATAAAGTGTCTAACATAGTGGTTTGGGGTTCATTATAAAAGTATTTTGAATGAGGT